GGTTTAGGTGTTTAGGGGTTTAGGGATTAGGGTTTAGGGTTTAGGGTTTAGGGATTACCGATACTATTTTGAGGGTTCCTTATCAAAAAAGTATAGTAGCATGGGCCCCCAAAAGCCCTTGTCTTAGAAGTGAGAGTGATTGCTTGAACCGGGGCTCAAGAATGTTGGACTCAGTTCTTCAGGTGCTTAGGCTGCTTTCGCAGGGGGCATCTTCTAACTGGTTTGGTCTGGGTTGTCCTTCACATTGCCGGGGCTCTGACTTAGGTGTTATTCTGGCTGCCTTCCTTCTTGGATTTCTCTGTGCCTCAGCCGGAGGCCTTCTCCTCCTTTACATCTTCGTCTTCAGGGCATCCTCGCCCGAGCCTCCCCAAATTCCGGCCAACCTTGAGCCCTCCTTTCTGCCAAGGCGTAGGTTGCAGGGGTACTTGCATGAGCGACGAGATTGATCTGGCCTTCAGGTTTGGTCGATTTAGTCTTAGGGTTAGCACCTCAGACCCCTCGGGTTACCCTAGTGGCCAGCGAGCTACCTCTACTTCCCCTGCTGGGTCCGAAGGATCCTTTGTGCTCGTTCGCTCCCCTTCGGAGCCCGAGCTCGCATCGCATTCCCTGCCTGAGGCTGCTGCGCCTCCTGCTGCCTCACCTGCTACCTTATCCCTTAGTTTGGGTGACCCTAATAGGACCCGAGCCCCCCTAAGTGAAGGTTTAAAGTCAGGTAGCGCGTCTGCATCCCTTGCTGGGCCCCGGGCCCCTCGCTCTTCCGGAGCCGATTGCAGTAGGCCCTCTAGGCCCCGCGTGGTTATAGGTTCCTGTGCCCCCTCAAAGCCCGAAGCCTCCGCGCCTTCCCGTCCAGACCGGCTGTCTGACCCCTTGCAGGCCCCCGGGCCCAGTGCAGCTCTTGCCTCGGCAGAGCAACAGGATCCTCTTCGAGATCCGCCGCTGCATCTTTTGGATTCAGGTCGTAGCCTTTCAGGCGACGGTCGTGCCCGCATCCTCCGTGCCTGGAGGGCAGGCTGCTGGGCAAGAGAAGTCCTTGAGGGCCGGCTTAGGTACCCTAATCCTACCCCTGCCTTGAACCCTCCCCTTAGGAATCGGTTCTACTGTGTGGCTCGTGGCCTCCCTGGGCAGGAGCCCTCTTTGCATTCATCCTTTGCAGCCTTCCGCGCCCAAGTCGGGCGGCTGGAAGGCGGGGACACTATCACTCACGGCTTTGCTTCCGAGCTCGAGTCTCGTGCGTATTTTGCTGCCGTTGGCCTTCCTTTCCCGACTTCACGATGACAGAGCTACTGCCCTTCGTGTGTGCCGAGGAGGGCTCGGTGGAGCTCCTCGAGCTCTCTTGGCCTCTTCTGCAGGACCTGGAAATCGATCAGGAGCCGGAGGCTTGCCTCACTTATGCCGTGATGCGGCGCCCGGGTGGTTTCCTCCTGTGTGTGCCCAGCGGCTTCTTTCGCGAAGAGGAGCTCCTCGGGGGCCAAGCTGCCGAGGAGATGCCCTCCTGGGGCCTTCTGTGGAAATGCTGGTCCCTCCCGTCGTGCTCACCGATGCTGGGGAATGGGCGAGGGCAGAGGACCAAGCTCCTGTGCCTTGTGTCGTGGTAGATCTTGCCCTAAGGGCCTCCGATGCGGTGACCCAGGCCGACCTCGCCGATTCCGGTGCCCGACCTTTCCTGCCGGATCGACCCGACACCTTTCCTTTGGCCTCCGAGGTCGTCAGGAGAAGCAGGGCCTGGGTCTCAGAGAACCTCGGGGGTTTGCTGAGCGGATACCAGACGGCAGTGTCCGAAGCACCGGCGCGGGCTGCCAAAGCCCCGGCCCGAGCAAAGAAGCCTACTGTGGCCCACCTTGCCGCTCAGCAGGAGTCTTTTGCCAAGGCCCTTGCGGGACTATCTGCCCAGCTTGCTCAGATTGCTGCAGGTTCTCAGGCGACGGGTTCAGGACAGCTTCCTCAGCCCCCTCAGCCCAAAGCCCCTACGGCCGCTCTGCTGTCGGCACCGATTGCTGGCAAGGCCCCTGTGCTTGGTGCCCAGGCGAAGGCGCTGTCTTCCATACTCGGCCCACCTCCTCGCGCGAAGCCGGCTACGGCCCTACCAGCAGCCCCGCCAGACGACGAGCCCCCTTCCCTAGAAGGACTAGAGCTGGCCGACCTGGGCCCCGGGCAAAGCCAGGTCGCCGAGGCCATGCTAGTGCAAAGCCGTGCTCTTGCGCAACTTGTTTCTCAACTTGCTCAAGGTGCCGACCCCCTCGCCGAGCTTGGGTCTCAAGGCTCCTCTCTTTCGACTCGGGGGACCAGCTCTCGACAGCGCATGCAAGCCGAGCTGGCCCTCAGGGAGGGGCACTTCGCCGCCAGGATGCGAGGCACGGCCTTGAAAAGGATGTCCCCCGCGACGACCGAGGCTTCCCTCCTTCAGGAAGGCCTTATGACTCGGTATTTCGAGAGGTTCGGAGGCTACCAGGGCCAACAGCTCATAGGCTTGCTTCAGTGGCAGCTGGGTCAAATCTCGGACCTCCTTGCTGCCGACTGCCCGCTCGGTGCCTCCGATCTGGTGGCCCAAGCCATTATTATGCTGGAACAGGTCGCGGTCGACCGAGGGCGTCACGAGCTGGGCTGGCTCCTTTCTCTCCAGCAGGATCCCCCAGCAAGCCTCTTCGCAAGCCACCAGACGATGCCGACTGCTGCCCTTCGGCCCTTTGCTCCCCTCGCCGATCCCAAGCTCATTGCCTGCACCATGGCTTTTATGAAGGAGCTCGACACGCTCTCGACAAAGAGGCTCGAGCTCGCGGGGCCAAGGGGCAGACCTACTCCACCTCCTCCTGCCGACGACGGTGGTACGCAAGAGCCTCCTTTGACAAAGAAGCAGCAAAGAGCCCGGGCTTGGGCTGCTACAAAGAAAGCCGCTCAACCCTGACTGGGGCCCAACCTAATTCAATACCGCCTTGCCCCTCTCCGCTGCCGCCTCGGACCAGTGGTGTTTCCCTTGAGGGCGCGATGCCGTACTTTACTGCAAGAGCTGATTGCGGGCACTCAGTCCCTTTGAATTGCGAGGGCCGCCTCTCAGCACAATGTTCTTTTCAGCAGCCCGAATCCTCGCTCTCCGGTGGTCTTGGCCGAAGCGCCCCTGTCACGGATGAGTCGCTGTTTGCTGCTACTTTTGACTTTTGGTCCTGGGCTGCTGCCCTTCCTCGGCTGCTTTTGGCCTCGCGAACCGCCTTTGCTCGGTTCCTCGCCGGGACCCTTCACCTCCAAAGGGATGACAATCCCCCGCCTACCGCTCTGTTTCCCTTGCCTATCCCTCGCCCGGGGTGCTTTGGCAAGGATGTGCGTGGGGGGGCCCGCCAGCAGGTTTTGCTTGACAGGGTCCTCCATGTGACGGTCGCTGCACTTAACTTCTTGCATGCAAACTGCCGTCCCATTCCCCTCCACTGCCTGCAGAAGCCTCCCTCCTCGAGTCAGATTTCTATCTTCGACCGCCTGGAGCTTCTCGTCAGAGCGTGTTCTCGTTCTACAGGCCGCACCGGCTGTGTGCCTCTCTCCGCCGGCCGGCGTGGCGCCCACCTTCTTGCTCGACTTTCCGAGCTCTCTGCCCATGTGTCTGAGATAGGCCTGGATGGCTCAGTGTACCCAGGCTCTGCTCCCTTGGGCCACGTCAACCACCACGATCACGGGCTGCCCGCCCTCAAGCCCTACCGCGACTCGGATGCCAGTCGAATCCTTATAAAAGGCACAGGGTCCTGGGAGCTTGGGCGCCACCTGCAATGCGAGCCTGAGCTCTACTTGCCCTTCAGGGAGCCCCTCGTACTTAGAGGAATCCCGGAGAATGACCTACCCTTCCCCGGATCCTCCTGTGACTCAAAGGCGTCTGTTCTTCCCCTGATAAGGCTTTGGGACTCAAAGGGGCTCCTTCGGATTGTGCCTGGGCCGCTGCCGCCCCGTGCCCTCTGCCGCACCTTTGGTGCCTTCAAGAATGAAAACCACGACCGTCTCATTGGAGACAGGCGAGGCCCTAACTCTTTAGAGGGCAGGGTCTTAGGGCCTTCTAGGTGGCTCCCCCCTGGTAGCCTCCTTACTCTTGTGACCGTCCCAAGGTATACAGGGGTTTTGGTTGGCGCGAGCACCGACCGTGCCGACTTCTACCACCAGGCTGCCGTGTCTCAGGCCCGGGCGTCTACGAATTGTATCGCCCCTGCGCTTTCATTGGATGATTTCGCTGGCCTCTCGGCCCTTGCTGCCCTGCTTCCCCCCTGCCGCCCCAAACAAAGATCCACCCTTTGTGGGCCAGCCGGTCCCCCTTGCTACTACGCAGCCTTTGGAACCTTGTTCCAGGGGGACCACGGTGGGGTCGAGTACGCCACCTCTGGGCATGAGCATCTGTTGAGGTCCCACGGCCTTCTTCGCGATCACGATCGCTTGTGGGGCCAATGTGCTGTGCCACACACGACTTGCTTCTCAGTTTCTGTTGAGGCTGCAAGCCAGTACGCCTGCTGTGGGAAAGATGAGCTACACGAGCGGCTTTTGCAGGCAGAGTCCACCCAGAGAGTGCTTCGAGCCCAGGCCGCCTATGCATCTGAGTCTGTTGCGGGGTCCCCGGCCAAAGATCTCCTCGGGGCCCTCACTTACCAGCTGGCGGGCGCTTTCGTTGACTCCTCAACCGACTCTGTTTCTGAAGGCCAAGTGCTCGTTTCAGCACCTCCCGAAAAGAGGCTCGCCTTAAGCTTCCTCTCGCTCAAGACTGCCTCTCTGCCCGGCATTTCGCGTGAGCTTGCCGCCGCCCTCTCGGGCTCTTGGACCTCTGTCTTGCTCTTCAGGAAGCCTCTCGCTGCTTGCCTCGGCGGTTTCTTTGGACTTGGGCTCGGCCATCAGGCTGGGCAAGCTGGCTCAGACGTCGTCGCTCTTCCGCGTGGCCTTGCCCAGGAGATTGTTTTGCTATCGGCTCTTGCCCCGATTGCTGCCACAAACGTTGCCGTCCCCTTCTCCCGCCAGGCCTTCTGTACCGACGCGTCGCTGCATAAGGGAGCTGTAGTTTCGGCTAAAGTTGGCTCCTCTGTGTCAGAAGCTCTCTGGGCCACTGCACCTCGAAAAGGGCACTACACAATGCTTTCTCATGACCCTGTCGATCAGGGTGCAGGCTGCAAGCCTCATGACGAGGAACCTGCCCCTGATTCCGTCCCGGGCTTACTTTCTGTGCCCTCGAAAGCGCGCCCCCTTGGCCTTGACTTTGACTTCCTGGAGTTTGGCTGCGCCTCTTCTGCCACTGGTTCCGCGAGAGCTCTTGGTCTTAGGGCCGGCCCCCCTTTCTGCGGAGCCTCCTCCTCCGAGCTTCGGGCTGATGACCCTCACGTCCTTGACCTCGTCATCTACCTCATTTCCCGCGGCCGCCTTCGATCCCTTTTGTGCTGGGTACCGGCTTGGTCTTTCCCTTGGCTGTCTTCGCGTGACTTGGCTTTCCGGCCACGGGCCTCGCACACTGTTGGTGAGAATGAGCGCGTTGCTCTGCGCTCCCTGGTCCTTCTCCGGACTTGCGCTGCCTACGGCGTCCCCTGCCTCGTCGCCTCCCCGCCTAAGTCTGGGATCCTGCGCCACCCGTCCTACCAAAGATGCCTTGATCTCCCTACCTCCCGGTCTGGTCTGATTTGCGGCGCTGCCTTTGGTTCCTCCTTGTCGGGAGACCTCAGGTGGATTTCGGTGTGGGCTCCTGCAGGGGCTCTTGACTGCAGGCCCCTCTCTAACTGCCTCAGGCGCGGCCCCAGCATGCCTGCCTTCCCGGACCTCTGTCCCTCGCTCGCACGCGCCATCGTGTCCTGTCTTTGGGCTGGTGCCAGCCTTACGGACCCCCCCGAGCCGGCGCATGAAGGGCTTGAGAGTGCTCTTGTTAACGACGTGCTCCAGACTTCCAAATGGAAGTGCCGTCGCTCCTGGCGCTGGCGTGAACGCAAGCACATAAACGTTCTTGAATCTGAGTCAGCCGTCCAGCTCTACAAAGATCTCGCGGCCCTCGGGGGTGACGTCAGATTCTGCTTGTTCACGGATTCTTCAGTCGTTCTAGGATCGCACAGGAAAGGGAGATCCACCGCCCGTCTCCTTGCTCCGTCGCTTCGTCGCGCTGCCGCCGTGCTCTGCGCAGGAGGGCTCTATCCCTCTCTGCACTTTGCCCCGACTAGGGCGAACCCTGCGGACGACCCGACTCGCGACAAAGAGTGCAGGGAGCCTTTCGGGGTTCCTCTCCTGACTCTGGTTGAGCCCCGTGAGCTCGCAAAGGCCTGCAGGCTGACTAAACCCCTGGCTGGCTGGGTTCGGCTTTTTCTGCTCGTTGGCGCCCCCTCGGCCTCTTCTTGCAAACGCCGGCTCAGGTCACTTTTGGCTTTTCCTGAGGCCTCCCGCTTCGGGTGCCGTCTCCTTCGCCAGCAGTCCATGCGTCTCCGGGACTTCGATGCCACTTTGGGTTTCCCGGGCGAAGGACCTTCCTCCCCGGTCGCCCTCCTCTTTGGCCTTCTTCTCTTCTTAACCCTTGGTCCTGCTGTTGGGGTGCTTGCCCCCAGACATGCCGCCGACCTCCTTCGGCAACGTGGTCGCTCACCTGGACTTCTGCCCTCCGGCCGGCCTGTGCAGCCTAGGACTAAAGCAAATAGGACCCCCCTGACCGCAGCCTTTTCGCAATGGCTCCTCCTTGTCTTTGGTTTCTCCCTGGACGAAGCTCTGAGCAAAAAGCCTTTTGACCATGACATATTTTGCGACTATGTCATTGCCTTTGGCAACGATCTCTACGCTTCTGGGAGACCCTACTGGCATTATTCTGAGACAATCAACGCCCTGACTTCGCTCAGGCCGTCCTTGCGAAAGCAGCTCCAAGGAGCCTGGGACCTGGCACATACGTGGCTGGCTGATGAACCTTATTTTCATCACACAGCCATGCCGGCCCCTGTTCTGGTTGCAGTCCTTAGTACCTGCCTCCTTTGGGGGTGGGTCAAGGAAGCGGGCATCTTTGCGCTGTGTTTCGGGGCTCTTCTCAGAGCAGGCGAAGCAGTTAAAGCCCTTCGTCGTGACCTGGTGTTTCCTGCTGATGCTCTTTGGGGTCAATCCTATATTTTGATCCGGATCCACGAGCCCAAGACCCGTGGCCGAGCTGCTCGACACCAAAGCGCCAAACTCGAGCCTGCTGACCTTGTTCAGCTCTGCAGCCTTGCCTTCGAACACCTACCGAAAACTTCTAAGATCTGGCCCATGTCGGCCCAGACTCTTCGCAAACGCTTCTACGAGGTTTTGGCAAGGCTTGGGATGCCAAGGTCTGGTGGGCGGGAACGCCCCCTAGACCTTGGGTCCCTTCGGCCGGGTGGGGCCACCTATTTGCTTCAGCTCACCGAGGACTCCGAGCTCGTCAGGAGAAGGGGCCGATGGATCAGCCATAAAATAATGGAAATATATCTTCAGGAAGTCAGTGCTTCGACTTTTGTTGCCGACCTGGACTCTGCGTGCCGGGACAAGGTCCTTACGGCTTCAGCTGCGTTCACTGGCCTCCTGTCGCAGGTCGCAAAATGGGCTAAAGCAGGCGTCCCTCCGAGCGTGTGGTTTTCCCTCTGGCCTCACCTTTGATTGATGTACCTGGTGCTTGTATTTCTGGGGCTTTCGGGCCTTTGGAAGATTTTCTCCGCCTGCGGATGTGAATCCCCGCATGGCATGCACCAGGACTTCGTTCCGTGGGGGTGAAAAGTCTGAGCTCGAGCTTCTGTGACTTAGAAGTGAGAGTGATTGCTTGAACCGGGGCTCAAGAACCCGCCCTGCCCTCCCATGTAAAGAGGGGCCTTTGGAAGATTTTCTCCGCCTGCGGATGTGAATCCCCGCATGGCATGCACCAGGACTTCGTTCCGTGGGGGTGAAAAGTCTGAGCTCGAGCTTCTGTCTAATTATTAAGGCCCCTATAGTAGGGTTCTTTGCTAGGGTTTGCTTGAAGGCTTCCTTTTTCGGGTTCTGTAGGCTAAAGTAGGGGTTTAGGGTTTAGGGTTTAGGGTTTAGGGTTTAGGATGCCGTGGAAGTTTGGGCCTTCGGCCGTTCGATGTCGGAGATCTGAAGTCATCAAAAGCCTAAAGCCCAAGCCCGGGACTCCCAAGCCTTAAGCCCTAGACTTTTATGGGGTTTAGGGTTGAGGGTTTACCCCCCAACGCTAAACCCAAAACCTCTTAAAGCTGCTCATTTCTCTCTCTCTCTCTCACGCTCTCTCTCTCTCTCTCTCTCTCTCTCTCTCTCGCGGTTTAGGGTGGGGCTCTTGCTGACGAGGGGGGGGTTTAGGAGTTTCAAGTGGGCTTCTCTGCCATTCCCGAGAGGTTCAAGGCCCTTCTGGAACTAGCAACAAAGCCTGCCTGAAGGGTTCTAAACTGACTGAAGGGTTCTGTACGGATTTTAGAACAGGGTTCCGGGTTTAGGGTCCAAAACCCGCCCGAGCCACAACAGACTGCCCCCTAAACCCTAAACCCTAAGCCCTAAACCCCTAAACCCTAAACCATCACTCGCCAGCTTTTCCGTCCTCCGCCCCGGCCAGCGCACAGGACCGACTTCTGGTCAAGGGCCTTCGTGTTTGGGTAAGTTTTAGAGTTTAGGGTTTAGGGTTTAGTGGGTGGCCTCGATTAGGATTCGATTCGGAACTTCTTTTTAGGATTCCGAAGTAACGTGATCGACATCTTGCAAGTCTCAACCTCCAAACACACCTTAAACCCCTAAGCCCTGAGCCTTTCGACCCGCTAGGCCCTTCAGCCCCTGCAGAACCTTTGACCTCTTCAAACGCTGTTAGACTATAAAAACCCTAAACCCTAAACCTTAAACCCTAAACTCTAAACCCCCCCCACCCCCGCAAGCGCTCAACCCTTCAGCCCTAGGCATCAAAATGAAACTCTAAACCCTTTAAGCACTAGATCTAAACATCATGGGCTTTCAAAACGAGCCTTTATCCCAGCTTTTGAACCTTGAGCGGCGCCCCAAATCCGTAACCCCTCAACCCCCCTAAACCCTAAACTCTCAACCCCAAGCCCTAAACACCCTAGCCTTAAGGGGCTTAGAGGACCTCCATGGCATTCAGCCTGCCGGATCCACCTCATCCTTGCCGGATGCCGGATGCCTCGGTGAAATCCCGGCAGCTTGCTGGGCTTCCTTCGGCTTTTTCCGTGGGGGTTTAGGGTTTTGGGTTTAGGCTTCAGGGTTTAGTAGGGTTCATTGGGCTGTTATAATTTTTGATAGGGGTTTTCAGGCGTGTAGGGTTTATGGTGTTATAGTTGCTTTTTGTTTAAAGGTGAGGGGGTTCTTACAGCAAGGCTCCGTTACTTGGGTTCCAATCTCAATACGGCACCCTCTTGTTTGGTAACCCAGAAGGGACGCTAGTATTGACAAATCAGAACTGGGATCGTCCCAGTACAGTCCTTAGATAATTATGGCAGATCCCACCCGCCCCCCAACCCACAAAGTTGACTTCAAGTTCGAACGCCCCCCGTGTCACAGAAGCCCTGTTAGGACCCTCATAGTAACCTTAACCCTTATAGAAACTCTGTTTGACTACTATAGCAACCTTTTTATAACCTTTATAGAACCCTCATGGCAACCCTTGTAGAACCTTTGTAGTGACTCTGGTAGTTACCGTTTAGTAATGCGTGTAGTAATTCTGATCGTAACCCTTATGGAACACCCTAAACCCTAAATCCTCAACCCTAAACCCAAAACCTTAAACCCTAAACCCTTGTGGAACCCT